GCTGTACAGAAAAATAAGACACATTTTACTTGAGAAATAATTTTAAAAATACTATACATATACTAACTTAACATATTCTTTTGATCACTCACCTTGCACAAAAATAAATTTGTGCGACAAGGTAAAGTTTTTGTTGATGAGATATATACACATATATATGTATTAAAAAAAAAAATAATAATAATAAAATACTTCTTTTTCATGACATGATGATTAAACATTACTGCAAATATATTTTATTTTTTTTTTTGTTCTATACTATTTTTCTGAAACAACTGAAAAACGTAGGTATATTTTAAAATATTTTTGTTTTTGAACAAAGTTTTGAATTTAATAAGTATTGTGAATTATCGTATAAAAACGTCGTACAAACATAACTATATGTTTTTATCTTAAAGTTTAGTAATAGGTAAATTTGCTCGAATACAGAAGCCAACAAAATCGGTTCTGCTAAATGCAAATTTACTATGTCGGATGTGTACGTTTTTGAGATATGTGCGTTAATATTATAGCAATTAAAGCGCTGTAGTTAGGTTTAGATTTTAGATGCACATTCGTATAAACATTTTACAAACACTTGTTAAAAATAACGTCCATGTGAAAAATTTTTGGGGCAAAAAATAGTGTATTGTAAATTATAATATAATATATTTTAAATAAATGTGCACATCGTTGCGCTTTATCCTATCATATTTGGATTAAAAATTTACGATTAATCAACCAGAAAGTCTCTTATCGTCTACTTATTTATAATATATTATCATTACAGCGATTATTACATGTTATTATCATGTGCGCGAACGGTGACCGTTGATGCTCCAGGTAATTGTCAAGTTATAAAATTTTGATGACTAACAAGCGCGCCTGCGCACAATATGGGGGCAAAGATCTTGCCGCGGCTTCTTGTTTGAAAAAAAAATTACATTCGATCAAAATACCGTAGGTAGTCGTCGCGTATGAAGTATAGACCATACACCATAGAAATGAGATAAAATATAAAAGCAACTCCTGTAGAACGTTTTGATATGATCATTGATGCTATCGCTCCGTGTGGCTATCTTACAAACTAAAACCTAAACTATGATAGTTGATAGAAATCAATGTTATTATTTATTGATTATCGAATGATCTGCTTTTAATTTTATATTTCCTATTTACCAATTACCATTCGCCTTTTTTATAATTTTTCACAAAATAACATAAGATTGAAAAATGTATTGGATAGTTTCATTCAGCAGTTCATTGTTTCCAGTTCTTTCAACCTATTTATCATATATTTCCTTATTCTTCGAGAAGCGATGTCTAAAGCTGCGTATACCTTTGTTACATTAGCACGTAACGTAACTTGGACATGTAACAGCAATAGAGCGTAACAAAATTTGAAACCCTACGGTGTTACGCCTTATGTTTACACGCAAATGTTACAAGTGTGTATATATAGCTTAAGAATAATTTTATTATCATGCGAAGTATCACATCCGATGATCATACACCGATTAGAAGGCATATTTAAAATTAATCAATCAAAACAATAAATGCATAGAAAAAATTTAACAAGTATTAAACAAATAAATTCGGACAGAAATTTCAAATATACAAGCATAAATAATAAATCGTAAGTGTCAGAATTTAAAAAATTTCACTATCTATAACATTTTTATATTAGGTTATGTTATCACAAAATCAGTATTGCTCATGTTTGGGAAATTTGGAAATTTTTTTAGCATGGTACTTCTTGAGTTTTAACGTAATATCAGTTCCGTCCTATTGAGTTACAGCCTCCTACCTTACACAGTACCTTATAATATATATATATATATATACATATAATAGTAATTGTAAACCTCGTATTATTATCGTCTCGTACATGATATTATATTTATGTAATATAGTATTCCCCAGAGGGATCCTTGGCGTGTGTATAATATATACACAGAGAGAGAGAGAGAAATGCGCGATCGTCGTATAATATGAATAGAGAAGGTATTATATAGTAGATAGCTGTAGTAGCAGTAGTAGTACTTCTTACTCTGTATATATAATATTATATGGCGTAGTGATGTGTGTATATTTGTGTTATATATATTTATATGGTATATAGTCGGAAAAATGATCAATTGCTTTTCCCGGGCTATGGGCGCGCCCGCGAAATTCCGGATCCACTCCCCGCAGTGCGACGTGCAACGGAATACAAAATTGCTTTTCTAAATACCTTCGATATCGCCTGTGAAAATGCCTGTCATTGTCGTAATATTCGTCGTTCTGCTCGTCCATTCTTACGCTGCGCACATAACTCTGCGTATTTTTTCTTTTTCCTTCCTCTCTACCTTTTTTTTTTTCGGCACTGAGTGCCTTTCTTCTGTTGCTAATACCCGTGTCAAATTTCCTGTTAACCACTTTACAGGTATTTAACACTTTGTCCCAGACCTCCGCCTTCTCTTACTCGCTCAGTTTCCGTAGCCTGCATCTATTTGTCCGCACGTAATCAATGACAACGACGAGGGGTGTAAGATGCGGCGATAAAATATCGTATATTTTTATGTCTCCCCTTCCATTCTTGTTAGTTCGTTTTTGAGAATACCACAAAAAATGGTAAACCGAGGATTTTTACTTGCGTGCTTTTTTCGGTAACTAACTACGTGGTGAAAAAAATACTTAAAGCTTTTTAAACGAAACGATATGTATACGTATAGACGCTTTTTCGGAATTTAAACGAAATCTGTGGTTTTAGCATCCGCCGGGGTGAATAATTGAATTTTACTGCGAGTGAAATACGGCTGTATGTATTATTATTATTATATACCCATACTTTATATTATATAATCTATACATAATATATCGACTATAGCGAGAAAAATATACATCAAGAATGAACGAGGGGAGGAAATGATGACAGCCGCGTTGGGCGTATATTTATTCTTCGTTATGTCTATAGAAGATATTGTTTATCGAACGTTTAAGAACCTTCAAATCGAATTTCTCCGCGTGACACATGTGTGGAGCAAAATTAAGAACGATGGTGTTATTATTTTTTCTTACGTTTAGTCTTGTTACTTTTAGTATAATAACTTACTCATTTTATAATACTACAATAATACATTACGCCGCGCTCTTCCTTCAACCATTACGCCGGCGTGTACTTCGAACGCTTTTCAAAATATAGTTGAACCTTTATGTTTTTACAATGATTTATTCTTTGTCCTATAGTTTTAACGTGTATAGGTACCTTTAACATTATGTTCATTTTATTATTCGCGTTTTAAACGAATGGTGGTCCATGAACTGTTTAGAGTTTTGTGTATGTGCATCCGTGCATATGTAGGGTGGAAACATTACCATTTTTACTTCGTTCTGAAATCTGCAACCGGCTGTAAAAAAAATGATTACATTACATTAAAATATTCATAGCGATTCGACGTGTATTTACACATGTTAGTCTAAAATGCTATTATACGTTAACTTCCAGTACCCATAGCTATTCCGGTATATGCAGGTATATTTTTAAATTATATTGCTATATTAACGTTTATATATAAACGTGAATAGCAAAAAAATTAACTTTAAATGTTTATTGGTTATCATTATACATATATATGTAAATTTTAACAAATACTTAGTATGAGTTGTGGTTGCTATATGTTTCTAACGTAAAAAAGAAACTGGCGCTTAATTATTTAAACTTTATATATTCATATATTGCTCGTACGCATTGCATTAAATATATATATGATGTGTACTTAGTGGTTCTAGGTTAAATAAAAGAAAACAACATTTTCTATTCATTTTATAAAAACGTATTCAAACTGTTTATTTATTCCGTTAGTTCAGTTGCTGTTGCGTAAAAAAACTTTTATATTGTATTGTTTTTGACATTTTAGTATTTGACCAAAATAACTCAACAACAGCAATGAGATATGGATACACCGTGTACTGTCGTTTATTACATGAAAAACATTCGTTCAAAAAATTGTATGTTTTGTTGTTCGTAACTCATAAAATGAGAATGTCAATTTCACTTTTGACCGTTCTAAAAAATAAACTAATATCCGAACGACGACGTTAATGGAAGTTGACAAGACATAAAAAAATTGATTTTATCTGCGCTGATCTGGCGCATAATGTTGAAACCTGGCGGTGGTAATAAGCTTTCAACCTAAGGTCATGGTGTACAATATAACCTATTATTATTAATATGCACATATACCTATTACACTTATCAGTTGCTTTGTCGTATGGCTTTCTAATAATTACCTATTGTCTACCGGCCACGACGTTCCGAGAATATAATTTATGTCATATCGTAATTTGCCTATATATCTTTATATATACATGGGTACCAGCGATACGATTGTGTTCGATTGTGTTTCCTCGGAATTGTTATAGAACATACTGTCATAGTTTGGTTTAGGGCGAATTTTCGTTCCAGATTTCACTGTCGCGAATTTTTCGCATAAACTTTTCGTAAGTCGTTAATTTGTACGTTAAAAAATAAATAAATAAATAAGACATCTCACATCATGCGTTTCGTCGAAAACGGCGTAAAAAAAAAAACAAAACAATAACAACAATAACGGACAAAATATTCATGTTGTAAACGTATGTTATCAATATATAATATTTAATCGCGAAATCATTATATCAGCTCTTTTTAGTATAACGATTTACTAATAATATATATGCGCCTGAGCACGTCGTGTGCGTTATTTTATTATTACGCTCGTAAAAATTGTGTTGTACCAACTACCAACAGTACCTACGCTGTGCACGTCATATAATGACGACAAAATAAGTGTTTGTTTTGTTGACGTTTATTATCTTTTATTATCCCTCGTCGACATGCTATGGCGAAACACATTACACAACAGTAAAAATCTCCTGATCGATACGAAATTATAATATTATGTTATAACGCTGTGTATTGAACACGCTTTACAATTATTATGTCGTTGTAAGTAAACGTCATCGACGGTTTTGCTCATTCGTTTTACGATTTTTTCCAGCAGCTGTTCCGCAACCATCAAGCACAGCAGGCGGCCGCAGCAGCCGCGGCGGCAGCGAACCCGGCCGCAGCGGCCGCGGTAGCGGCCCAACAACTGCAGCTCATCCAGCAGCAACAGCAGCAACAATTTCACCTGCAGCAACAACAACAGCTGGCCGCGGCGGCCGCTGGACTGGCAGCTGCTGCGTCGGCGCCGACCGCGACGCCGGTCGCTGCCGCCGCGGCTGCGGCCACGTTCGCGCCGCCAGGCACGACGGCCACGACGCCGTACATCATCAACCCGCAAGAACCTTACATGATTGCCGGTAAGTCTATCACGACGTGCTAGACGACTATAGTCGGGGCGTTTTCGTACTATTACACATCATCATTCATATAATATAATATATTATAATATATACGTATATATATGTATCGGCATAAAAATTTTCATTCGTAATATTACAAGGCACTTACGTGAAATAATATAACTCATCAATTGACAATTTACCGAACTACCATAGCTGCTGGTACAGAGTAGTGTGTACCGTCAAAACCAACGAACTATACTTTGGCATGTTCAAAAAAACAAGTTAGAACCGCGTGTTTATATACGCATAACACTGTCAATATCCTAATTACATTGACACGGTGTCAACAATGTTATAGGTACATTATAATATTTTTTATATTTAGAATTTTATATTTTATGCAGTGTATTTTAACACCACTAATAATTCGAAAAATAATTTGAAATTTATTGTGTGATGGGCGTACATAATTATTATTTTCTGATTAACAAAAACATAATGATTATCAACTAAGTATTACGCCTACACAATTTTACAATAATATCAATTGTATAGTTACCTCTCATTACTTGCTTTTATTCCATTGTATTCTTATGTATTTTTTTTTTTTTTTTTTTAACAAGATAGATTTTTCAATTTTTTTTTTTTTTAATATAATGAAATATTCTATTCATTTATTTTGTTCATGTTACTTTAATGGGTTTGAATATTAAATGCGAAAACAGTGCGGTAGTCTGGTAAATTATCAATCGATAGTTTGAATAATATGCGAGTACCGATTATAATATTGTTTATACAACGTACTGATTAAAATATTAAATTACATTCTTCGCCATGATATCGATAATAAAATATACAACATCAGCCCTACCAACATAATCCTATTCCTTTCAGAATAACGTAGTACGCTTTTCGTATATGTATGGTCTCTCCTGTCTGACCTTAGTCTACGGATTTTTCCCTATTTCTCATAAATAGTAAAATGTTTGATACTAAATTTCCGATATCTTCTTTGATATTTATTATTTTTCTGTGCATAAATTATCTTTTTCGAACCGACCGTGTTGTCGTACTCTGTATACAACGAGAGAACACTCCATTCCTGTCAGACACCCGTCGTCGTAACGGTCGGTGTGTCGCGGAAGAACCTATTTCGCGGTGTTCTTTACCTAGACAGAGTGTATGCCCGCGTTCCTTTATATTATTTCAAATCAACAACTGGATTCGGCAGTATTTTCCGGTCGTATACTTTCCGTTTGAATGAGGCCGGCCCGCTCTTCCTGTAACTCCCCGTCTTGTACCTATCTATACAACACACGGATTCCCACACCGTACGTGTATAATATTATTATATCATCACTTTTATATTTGTGCCCGCATGACGGTAATTCGCAGTTCGTTGTAAATAATGTACAACGTTTTTTTACACGCCGTTTTTGAATAATTATATTATAAATATATTATATTGTACCGCAAATCTGTATTTCAAACGTTTTATTACTATTGTGTGCGTGCGTGCGTGCGTGTTTTGTCACAATAAAGGCTTTATGGGCTCAGGTCCGACAGTGGTGCCGCAGTACTACGGCGTGCCGTGGGGCATGTATCCGGCGGGCAGCATCATACAGCCGGCCGGCGCCGCCGGTCAACCCGGCGCCACGGCCAACGGCACCAATACGGCCCAGCAACAGCGCAGGCCGATGAGCCCGTCGCAAGGTGACGGCACCCAGTACCAGGTCATACCGGCGTTCTACGACCAAAACGGATCGCTGGTAATGACCCGCAACGGCGGTCAGCTCCGGCTCGTGTCGCCGGCATCAGTCATCGTCAACGCCCAACAAGGTACGCTATCATCACCTCGCCCTTCGACCCGCCACCGCCCTACCGCCCGTCATAATATTATTTTATTATCCGTCTCACGCAGTATTATTATTATTACGCCTAAATTTTAAGTTGACGTGTGTGTGAGTGTGATATGCAAAGCGAAATTATATTTTCATTATAGTTTTTCCCCCGTCGTGTTGTCGCCGCCGCCGCCCTAAATGTTTTAATTACCCGGCGATGGAAAGAAAGACTCCCCCCTCGCGTGTTCGACGGGGCTGTCGTGTATATCTTCTATATCTATACAGTTTTATGCGTATAAAACTGTCGAGCGAACGGTGTTTTAATATATTGTTATGTATTAATAAATACGCTGACGAGTAATACTATATGACTATAGCAAAATTGTTGTCTCAACGCGAGACCTTTGTGTCGTCATAACGTGTATATTATTATATTGTCATTCGTTGCGACAACTGATATCGACGGTAGGTAGAGTAACGGTGTATTTAAATTACGACACAAAAGAGAGACGTGTGTGACGACTCCATATTTTATAATACATATATATATATAATATTAAAGTAGTTTAATAGTACTCGTACGTTTAAATATTGTAAAGTTGTGCGTACAGTGCGTAGATCGAGGCTAATGAATTTTCCGTGGCCGTATTTGTATCGATGATATTTAAATACGAGCGTGTCGTGTTGTTATACGAACCCCGCCGTTTGTCTGCGTACAAAGGTCGTCGTAAACGTCCACTATCTACGCCTCCAACGCGACCGGCGCGACTTAACCTCTTTCACCACCACTTTCGTGTTATTGGTGTTTTATGTCGGGGTATTTTTTGACAGGACTCCAACCACAGCCTCAGCAGGCGGTCGGTTCGGCAGCCAACAACTATTCGACCAACTTGACCTCACTGACATCCAGCCTTTCGTCGCTGGGGGTCAGCGCAGGTACGTCTTTGCCTACGTCACTGTTGTCGTCGTTGTTGTTGTTGTTGTTGTTGCATGTCGCATTATATATATATATATACTTAGATATATGTATATGATATTCGCCTTTGCGAAATGCTACAGTCCGGCTCGACCATTTTGTTAAACGATTAATGATAATACTATAACAAAAGACGTCATATGATTTATAAATCTCTTTAGCATGCAACAAACAGCAGCCGCAGCGTATTTAGGATTCGTGTGGATTAATATTATATTTTTCTTTTAGCGACGCCTTTTATAATAATATATTCGTGCAGTTTATTAAAATATGTGGTTTTTGTTTAAAATTTTATTTTTATGTTTTGCACGCTTATGCATAATATTAATAATAATAATATTTGCCGCCGCTCGACTTTGTCACACTACACACTAAAAGATCTCCCGAAGGATCTAAACGCCTTCACGTGACCTGCAAATGTACCTTCCTACCACTCGTTTATGTTATTTGCACTTTTGCGTTTAATAATAATAATAATACTATACCACACTTAACCGCCCCACTCATACATGCTTACTACTACCACTACTACTGCTACTATTATATCTCACTCGCTCACCAGAATGAATACATCCTCTGCCGTCGACGCCGGTAAAATAACGGGACTCGAGTGCAAGTTTTCACTCGTTTTACAACTTCCCCGCCCGTTATAAATATTAATATATGATTATACATGCTTAAGTTACACGATTTTTCACAAGAGTAATTTTTTTTTTAATAAACGTTTTGTTGTGTATAATATTTCTGTTATAATTATATTATTTAGGCAGTTACTACGTGTATATAGGGTGTACAATGAGCGACTATACACTTACAATGCATTTTTTATTTTTTCCCACCTGTTAACACGACAGATTCGTTCACTATACATGTTTATATAATATTATACACGTACTAGTTATGCTGTTTCTATGTTACACTGTTACTTACTAGCATGGCGTAGAATTAAGTGTGTACGTACTATGTACCGTGATTTTAAAAAAAAAATTCTATACGATCAAACTATTGACGTGTTATTCATGTTTATATTCAAATATATTGTAGATAAAGTTAGTAAGACCAAAGATAAATGTCTTTTTACCTTCCACCTATAGCTACTAGCTGCTCATTGACTGTATATGTGTCGTTTACCGCAGATTCCATTTTTTCCATTTATAGTGTGTGTACTAGTGTAATTTTCAACGAAGAAGGAGTAATATAATCCATTTAACTGCATATTCTTCGCACTAATGTTAAGTGGACGCCACTGCAACATTTTATATTGTTATTTGCAATTGAAACGTTTTACAAATTTTGAGATTATCGTTATTCAGAATTTAAACGTTATTCAACTTTTGCGTTTATCGTTATTCAGAATTAAAATTTTTATTATATTTTATAATTTATTAATTAAATAATTGAAATTAATTTTTCTTTTTTATGATATACTATATATAGCGTTTTGCGTTATTTAATTATTTATGTTTATTGTTATCCGTTATAATTACGTTTACAAATTTCAATCATTTTTTATCAAATATACCGTTATAATCATAACGTTATTATAACGTTTGCAAGCCCTGCATTTAACCTTAGCCGTACCTACATATACACTTATATTTCATATTATATCCTTTGTCTGTTACATAATTTTTTCTTTTGATAACTACTCTATTATTATCTTATTTTTGCGGATTGATGGATTTGTTACTAAATATACCACTGATAGTTGTATATATAGCTATATTTGTTACATATATAATTAGAAGAATAACAGGCATTGCTGTGTAACGTACACATGGCCATTTAAATCTTCGACCGACGGGTTAATTAAAACGGAAGTATCGTGACAACACGATCAAGATGGATGTGTTTGTTAACCACCTCTACGCCTTTGCGTGTGGGTGAAGAAAACATTCTAGCAACAACTATACCACCGGTGAAATTTATTACTATTATCATCCCATCTTAAAGTTTTAGGGGTCGATTAAATTAAACCTGAGTAGTAGGATCATAAATTTTAACGTAAAAACACGACGCTTTAAGCATAATTATTGTTCGGTTCTCGTGAATTTAAATTCGCGGCATTATTATTATTATTATTATTATTATTAGTATTATATGCATACCTATACACTGTGGGCGTTATAGTGTTTTTCGAACAGCCCTAAGTAACAATATTATATATTCACCTAACACGAGTATAAATCGCGTTGCGTCCACCCTGTATACGTGTATTATATTAATTATCATTATACGTTCGGATAATAAAAACAACATTACCAGTTTTAAACATTTTTTTTGTTTTTTTAAATTTATAATATTGTATTATAATAGACGTCTAGTTATTGTTTCGGTTTTAACTGTAGATTAGTCGTGTATGAGTTACTTAAACAATACGTTTACTCGACAATTAAAACTGCAGTGTAAATGACACCACTGCTTTTGCGTCTAATTGTTATGTTTTATCATCGCATATACTACCTACCAACAAATATATATATAAGCATGTATTTTAAAAACAACAATACTTACGGGGCTGCTTTTTTCACGCGTGTGTTTTCGACAGCAGGCGTACACGATGTCAACGTCAGTCTTGGTCTAGGTTCCGGAAATGCCGGCAGACGCGATTCCTTTGACCGTAACACGTCCGCCTTTTCACCGTCCATGGATTACGCCCGTCATAAATGGCCGCAGTACAACACACTGGGTACTACATATATTTGATTTTTATTTTTGTATTCGTCATTGTTGACCATGGCAACTAACAAATTTCTCTGTTTAAATCATACAGCGTCCCAAAGCCCTTTGGGTCTCGCCTCTGGATCTCTAACTCCTCCACCAGCTATGGGTTCCGCGTCCAATTTACAGATGGGCCTCATGGGCTCAGCCAATAACGCCAACAGAGGTCTGATGAATGCTGCGCCGGGTGCAGAAGCCATGGCCAAGTTCAGAGCTAGTGGTACATACATATATATCTATATACATATAATAACATTTTTGATAGCAACACAATACTATGTCAATATTTATATTAATTTTATTTTATTTATGCAATAGAATACGCTATGGGTGGTTTAGCTGCTAACGGAGCCATGTTTAACACGGCTGCAAATCCGAACAATACGAATTCCTTGTTTAACAAAATGGGTGGTGTTCGCGGCAGTGCTTCTTCGTTGGGTGGTTCCTCCATAACGTTGGATTCAAAACCGTCCGGCCGTAGCAGGCTCCTAGAAGACTTCAGGTAGGTTACCTTCTTAAGAACAGCCCCTTGTCTGCTGTAATTTTGGGGATAAGCTCACCGAATAAGTTATGAGGGGGTATTATTCATTTATGAAGTATTTAACTTATTCTAGTCGAAAACATTGAAATCAATGAAATTGATAATACTTATTTTATCCTTTAATACCTTTTGGACAGAATTTTATATATTCTTATAAACATTAGTAATGAAAATTCTTATAAATACTGAATTAATTAATATTTATTATTCATTACAAGATTGAGGGGAAGGGTAAATTGATAGTCTTGGTTATTCATTTAACTGGTGTAGCTCATCTCCCAACACTATACAGCATGCATCTAATCAATTAATCGTAATCGATCCAATTCTCCTGCACTGTGGCAGGAACAATCGTTACCCCAGTCTTCAACTACGAGACCTCACCAATCATATTGTCGAGTTTTCCCAAGACCAACATGGCTCCAGATTTATACAACAGAAGTTGGAGAGGGCTTCTACGCCTGAAAAGCAGCTGGTGTTCTCTGAGATATTGGCCGCTGCGTACAGTTTGATGACCGACGTGTTTGGCAACTATGTTATTCAAAAGTTCTTTGAGTTCGGCACGCCTGAACAGAAATCTACATTGGCGCAAAAGGTATGTCATCATTTTCACAATATATTATATTATATTATTTTTGAATAAAATATTTCGACGTTCTGTAATGTGCCTTCTCCATTTGTTATACCCTACATTAAATAGGTACGTGGACATGTATTGCCATTGGCATTGCAAATGTACGGCTGCAGGGTTATTCAGAAGGCATTGGAAAGCGTGGGTGGAGAACAACAAGTGGAAATAGTACGTGAGTTAGACGGCCATGTTCTTAAATGTGTCAAAGACCAAAACGGTAATCATGTAGTCCAAAAGTGCATAGAATGCGTTGATCCACATGCTCTGCAATTCATCATCAATGCTTTCCAAGGACAAGTAAGTTATTTTTAACTACAAAGATTAATATTGAGTATTGAAAGAAAAATATGATCTTTACTAACAACTGATGGCATTTGTGTTATCCAGGTTTTAACATTATCAACACACCCTTACGGATGTAGAGTCATACAGCGTATACTCGAACATTGTACATCTGAACAAACAGCACCGATACTCGACGAAATGCATCAACACGTTGAACAATTGATTCAAGACCAATATGGAAACTATGTGATTCAACATGTATTAGGTATGTTTGTGTTAAACATTATCTTGTTATATTTTAAAGAGTACAATTTATATTAATGTATGATTGCTATTCTGAGTGTAGTTTCTTTGGATTATGTACTAAATTATTCAATTATAATTTCATTTCACAGAACACGGTAAACAAGAGGACAAATCTAAATTAATATGTTCTGTTCGTGGAAAAGTTTTGACACTGTCCCAGCACAAGTTTGCATCGAATGTTGTGGAAAAATGTGTAACACATGCTACACGCAGTGAACGTTCTATGCTTATAGAAGAGGTTTGCGGTTTCAATGACAAGTAAGTAGCCACATAATTTGTGGATATACTCAATTTATATTGTTATTGAATTGGGATTTTTTTTTTCTAGCGCTTTACATGTAATGATGAAAGATCAATATGCCAATTATGTAGTGCAAAAAATGTTAGATGTATGCGAATCTTCTCAACGTAAAGTGCTCATGCACAAAATCCGTCCTCATTTTGCATCACTGCGCAAGTACACATACGGCAAACACATTATTTCGAAATTGGAAAAGTACTTCATGAAGAGCAATCAACAATCAGTACCTGTATCTGAATTGGGACCTATTGGACCACCAACAAATGGAGTGCTTTAAACAGTTCTATATTTTCTACTACAATTTTTTTTTATTATTATTATTATTATTATTGTATCCCTTAATTAGTATTTTGAATCCAAATTAAGTTCTAATTATTTTTCTTTTATTTTTAAATTACTTTATTATTATTACTCAAAGTTAGTGGGTTTAACTTAATTTTTGTGCGTTAAAAAAATTAGTATCCAAATTTAGTTAACAATACGTGGATTTGGATGGTTTTTTTTTATTATTATTATTTGTTAGAAACAAAAAAAAAAAATAAATAATTACTAATTAGCTTATTAGTGTGGGGCTTTAATATATCTTAATATTTATTACACTTTAAATACAATATGGCAAATACGACAAATTTTTTTTAACAAGTTCTAATATGGTGACGTTTACAAGGTATGTATATTAAAACAAAATTAGCACCCCATTTTTTGTGACCTTAGCAAATTTCTTATACAGCGTTCGTGTATATTTTGCTTCCAATTATATATTATAGTGTACAAAAAAAAACCGGGTCATCTTTTTAAATACAATTTTTTTAACTTAACAAATGATTGTGTATAATATTTTGTATATCTTTTTTTTTATTATTATTATATAGTATTTCATTTAATTTTTAAACAGGGTTTAAATTAGATTTTGATAGTGAAGTTTTGTTTGTTTTCTGTAATATAAAATCAAGTTTCTTTCTCTATATAAATATGCATATATACCTATAAATCGAAAGTAATTCATTCCTGTAATTTTTTTTTATAAATACGCTGTATAAAGAAATTATATAATGTACACATTTAATCGCTACAATGCTTGTTTTTTTTTTTTTTTTTGTTATATATATATATAAATGTATAAAATTGCATATTTTTAAATCTGTGAAAGCCATTATGTTTATGTTGTATATGAAAAATCTGTAAGCTAAATCCTACCAGTTTTGGGTACACAATTATTTTTTATTTTTATTATTATTCTATCCGTACTGAAAAAAAAATTGGTGATAAATGTGTATATAAATTTATGTTTATATATATATATATTATATATATATACAAAAATTATCCTGTCATTCGTAATAACTAATAATTTTATATAATTTTATATAACTTGAATCGTGTTTTTCATAGACACATAAGTTAGACTACGATGTTCCTGATAATATGTACATAATGAAGAAATGTGAACATAATCTTTTTTTCTCAAGTGATAAATTATAAAAGTTTTCTTTTCTTTCCAATTTATGTATTGAACGTATAAAATAAACACACAAATAATACTATTAAACTCCATTAACGAGCTGGAAAAGTTAAACGTTTTAAAAATTAATGTTATATTTTTATGTTTTGGTTATAATATGTATGAAACGTCTAAAAAATAAAAATAAATTAAGACTGCTAATTTTTAGTATAATGTGTAATTTATCTTTTTTTTCTATTATATTGGACTTGTACCCATCTATGAACTTATAATTGATAATTTTGCTTCAACAGACATATAATATTGTTACCAGGAATTCATTATTATTTATTTTAACTTCTATTGCAAATTAATTAAAATAAAACTGTTGTCTTGGCTTTAGCCGTCGTCTAGTAACTTTCCATTTTTAAAAGATATTGCAGTTTTATACATTTGCATTTTTATTTATACTCGTTTAATTATACGCAATCATTAACTAAAATATAAATCCATTAATAACGGATTATACAATTTTTGCATTCGGAACTACTAAATTACACATTTTATATGTTAATATTATATTTCTAAAATTTTAAACCACATATGCAATTTATATTTGTACTTCTTTGACTACATTTACACGCATCTTTTAATTATTAGAACCATACACACCTCATTAATATTTTATTTTTAATAAATGGGGCTGTATTTATGTGTGAAATGCTATCCCTACCCATCATACATGTTAATAGATTGATCAGATAGTTATTTTTCAAGACACCCTTGGTATTTGACAATAATATAACAAATGTTTCTCATAATATTCTTATTTAGTGACTAATTCAATGATACATGCATAGATACTAATTTTCACCTTAAAAATTAAACATATAATATTTTTTATTATGTTTGGAGTAACTGTTATAATAAATAATTAATAGTATTAAATATAATAATAATGATATAAATAAATGAAAAATATTCCCACATTTATGTTCCCATATTTCCTTAAATCCCCTCGTAATCTATTTACACTAGTTTAGTACTAATTTAATAATATTATAAATATATTTTGATTTATATTTTTAGATTTATTTTTAATTATAATTTTTCATCGATTATTATCTTATTTTTTTTTCTATATATGTGTATAACTAAAAATAATAGTTAGATTATTGTAGAAATATTAACGTGCGATATATGCATGGTAAACATATTATTTTCAGTATAATTGATTAATAACATCAACTTTTTAAAGTTTTAAGTAGAATACACGTATATAAATAAAATGAAAAACACAGACTATTTACTCTATGACCATACAACGGTTAGAATATTTTCTTTATCTATCTGTATTTTAATTTATTATTCCTACGTAAATTTGTATGGGGTTAACTACTAACAATTTAATATTGGCAGTGTAAAGAAAACGTATAAAAGTTATATATTTCATAGCAAGACTGATGTGTAAAGGTTTATTAATATTTCGACAGTGTAAGTAAAATTGTTCATTATTATTTCCATTATATAATATTTATAAATATATGAAAATAATGTTAAAAAGTTATTAATTTTTATTAGGTTTTTTATTCTAATTGACATTTTGTTAGTTTTTTTTTTTTTTTTGTTATTTTTAATGACTATCTGTATGAATTTCTTTCACTATGTTTGTAAACAATTATTATTATTTATTTTTTTTTTTTTTTAGGAAATTCAAAACAGCTATAAAACTTTGCTGTGGTTTTAAATATAAACATTATTATTTTATAGACCCTATTCGATTTACTAAGGAAATATCGTAGTGGTATTTGATTAATGTAATAAAAACTTAATAATTAAATTAATATTTTTAGTATATTATACTACTATATAATTATATATATATTAAAACACCTGTATATTCAAACTTAAATTTTTTTTTTTGTGTATTGGTATAGTGTAACATTTGAATTTGTAGTTATCGTGTTTATTTGAAGTTAAAATTTTAATGCTATGTGCACGACAAAAAAAAAACCTAAAAAAATTATAATATTTGTTATATTATATAAATTAAAAAAAATATATATATTAGTAATATTATATAAATTATAGTTCTCTGTGTAATTTGATGTAATTTGATGTAATGTTTAGAATTTGTGTAATAATGTACTATGTAAAGGTATATAAAAATATAATTAAAAAAAAAAAAAATATATATATATGGTTTTATTATTTATTCATTATAGGCAACGTTTTTCTAATTTCATATATGTTCATCAATAAATATTTCTTTTACAATTAAATTGTATTTTTGTTTAAAAATGAGAACATAAGCAGTCTTCCTTTTGTGTTTTGTTACAACATTACCAACCCACCCATATTTAGTACTATTTTGATTCCAATTAACTTTAATCAATGCCAATAGTGATTGGCATCAAATAGTTTGATTATGCTCACTATATCTGAGAATTAATAAGTTCAGTTTCAGAGTAACCTCAATGCTCACTCAAAGGTTAAAGTTGAGGGACTAGTCCCCATACTTCTTGATGGTGAAAAAGTTATATCCAATTATAATCATCCGATTAGCGAGTATAACTAAAATGATATTTTGTAAAATTGAGCTTTATACACCCCCCCCCCCCCCCCCCATGCGTAAAGTTATCTGGCTGATTTTTTTAGTTTCCCTAAAAGACAATCACTATTTAAACTTAATATTATCAGAAAAAATATTAGCTATTCTTAACAGAGTATTATTTATTTTGTGAAATAAATCACGGGTTAAAATTGGGATAAGCGTGTTAAAATTCACTGTTTAATATTTATATAAAATAATATACACGATAGATATGCATTAAACATATATAAAATGATAAATGGAATGCTTAAAACTTTACGAAAACATTAGTCCTTCCTTGGAATTTTTACCCACTTAAAGCCCTGTGCTTACAGCGAAATTATCTTTGGAGGAAAGTGATTGTAAATTTCAATTTGTTGAACCTACAATATTCAAAGAAAAATTTCACCAATTGATATTGTCTTATCAATACTACAGCAAGTGAAATACATAATAACCCTATGAATATTAAAACATTTTAACTTCTATGTATTTAATTGCATATGTAGTCAAACTAGTAATAAAAACACACAGATTTACTTTCCTAAATAATTTAGAACATAGTAAAATTTGAAGAAGTCTGTTGAACAATTAAAAAAAAAAATTCTATCAGGTTTGGGAGTTTAATATCGCTGTAAAATGTGATATAATATAACATTGTTGCATCATGCAATTATCCGAGCATTAAATCCTCTTAAATATAATTTGAAGTAGGTACGAGTAGTTGATTAGTTTAGCATATTAGGAAGAAAGATGGTGTTCATTAATTGAAAAAATATATTGCCATTAAGCTGGCTAATAAAGTAAGTAGGTACTAGCAGATTTATACGAATACAACTCCTTATATTTTGTATGAATTATAGGCTTACGTCAATCACATATGAAACATAATAAGATAATTGTTATACATTTTAAATTTAACTGGTAGATAGATAAGTATGTATTTTTTTTCTATTTTTCTGTTTTCTTCAGATGATTTTTAAATTACGTATGTCTATAAGCAATATTTACATGCAAAGGTTATCAATAATTATTAAATTATTTAATTATAATAACATATAATTATATACATATATTATTATTTATATTATATTACCTAAAGTTAAATATTGTTCGAGTTTGTATTCCTATTTCTTACGCTATGAATTTAGATAATAATTTATATTAATTAAATCTAAAAAATGTAAATCTATGATATTAACGATCTTTTACTCAAGTAAAAATATTTTGAATTTCAATTAATTTGATAAATTTTGTTACTTTTGGTTTAGGTACGTTACATTTATTAAATTAAAATAAAAGATTGAGTAATATTCAACGTTTTCGTCAGA